CCCCAAAACCCCAAAACCCCAAAACCCCAAACAGTGATATAAATAAGATTCAAGTAATAAATATAATTAAATTAAAAAGAGTAGCAAAATTACTAGATTAGTAAACAGATTAAATGTTAAATGCAGTAGATTCATCAAAAATGATTTGTTTTTTTTGAATTATATATATTATCTTTTATACCGGATAAGATTTTGATAATCTTATCTATTTTATCAAGTTTTTCTTTTGGCTTATTGGTTAAGAAAGTAGAGCTACCTAATTCAGATTGTATTTAGTCAATAATTGATTTTTTATCTTTCTTGAAGCTTTTATTATTTAGTTTGATTTTTGCTGCTTTTATCTCGTTGTAGGCTTGACATAAATATATAGTATCTTATCTTTCTATTCGTTATATTAATTTAGAATTTTGTAGCATTATTATTCCCTTAAACATATTAGACTTTTAGATATTAATACTGCTTCTACGTTAGTCTAAGTAAATCCTAGACTTCTTTTTCTTTTAAGACTTCTCCTTAGTTTCAAATATAAAGTTGTTATTAACCTAAGGTGGAGATCGTTTACTTTTCAACTTAAAATTATGCTTTTCGAATGTATCAGAAGACTAGTCCATTGACTATTTCTCTAGCTAGATGAATTCCTAGAGCTCTTAATACTCATGATTCCGTTAGTTATTTTTCCCAACAATAGTTTTTAACTTTTACATTATGTTTGAAGTATTCTTTGGTGATATCATCTTTCTCCCCGAGTTATTCTAATTAGTGTTATTATAGCTAGGACTTCGAATATTGAAGAAATTTAGACGTTTTTTAAAGTTTAGAAGGGGCTTAGTATTTAAACTTGCAGACTCTTTCTTTTGGCCAAGCCACAGTAGAGGCAAATAAGCATTGTCTACATTATGGCGACTGTGTCTCTAAGAGATAAAATTAGGTTGCTAAGTTTATTGCTAAATTTGAGAATCATATGAAGCCTCACTCAAGGGAGTAGATATTCTTCTTAGTTACCTAGATAATTATAATGCCCTAGTTATGTTTTAATCTATCAAATTAGGGACAAGGCTTTATTTGGCATCAAAAGTGTGCTTTTTATTAATTTGCTGCTGCTATTGACTGAACATATTATGGAATGACCTAGTTTCTAACTTCCTATAATGAGGACTCAATTATTTCTAATAATATAGATTCTGTTTAAGAGGAGAGAATAGTCTATATCTTGAATTAGTTTAGCTTCTCTCATTCATATCAGTTTCAGTAATCAAGACTTACGAAGCTGGCACTAGCATTTAGTTCATTTATGAAAATGCATTCACATTGACTTCGTTTTCAATTGAACTAGTGCATGAATCTACACTGCTTGTTTCTAATTTATTATTTATTTCCGACTCTTCAATTGAATCCTCATTGATTCGCTGCTTAAATTTGCTATGAATTGATAGACCTAGTCGATCTCGCAGGTTTTCAGGCATTAATGCTGGAGAGTTCTCCATTCCTACACTCAGTTTTCTGCAATCGAAATGTGTTGTACTTGCATCTGTCAAATCCTATTGAAATTAATCTTATTCCATAATTTAAATAATAAATTAACTGAAGATCATTAAACAATTTCATATTAGATTTGCTTATTTCTATCTACAGGGGTTTTGGGGTTTTGGGGTTTTGGG